CTTTTGTAAAAAAAAAAATGCTTTAAACAAAAAATACTTGCAAAAACTGAATTGCAGATCTTTTATGTTTTATCAGTGAATGAAGTGCAGTTATGCTCTGTTTGTTTTTAAAGTGGAACACTTTAAAATTGCTCTTACATATCTCTGTCCAGGATAATGAACGCTGGGAGACTAACCGAATGCTCACCAGTGGAGTTGTTCAGCGCTTGGAGGTCGACGAAGACTTTGAGGAAGACAACGCTGCGAGAGTTCACTTGCTGGTACATAACCTTGTACCACCCTTCCTTGATGGCAGGATCGTCTTCACTAAGCAGGTACGGACTGTCCTTTCATGACTAGTGGTAACGAAAGTCATGCTTCTGATACTTTGTGCCTTTTGTCACAGATTGGATAATTTCTCAGCTCAGTAAAAATGGACATTAGAAGCGTGCTCCAGCAAGGAACGTTTGATTCCAACAAAAATGACTTAGATGACCTAGTTTTAACAAAAATTATTTTCAAAATCAATATTTTATTGAAAAGAGATGGTAACGTACATTTTCAATTACTAAGGTTCTTTGGGGGCAACAACTCTTAGTCTCTTATACATTTTTTACATGGTTGGGGCTTTAACAATACAGAAAAGGGTGAAAGAAAGCAATAAAAAGAGAGAATTTCCAACAGTACATATTGGTGAGAGGATAAAATCATATGTGATATGAAAATTATTGGAGCATCATTGGCCAAAAAATTTATTTAATACCATCAGTCCCCTAGGGGGCAGAAGAGTTATATATTGACTCTAATTGATGGAGAGAGATAATTTTCTGATCTTTCTCATTTAAAATATGAGTAAAGGATTATTGTCTCCTAGTAAATATTACATAAAACAAGGAGACGAGGTACAGAACTTACTAGTATCACAATCACTCCAAGCTAGACGATATCTCCCAGTAGCTCCACAACACGTGTTTTTGTACGACATTTTTATTGTGATATATAACGTTAGATTGTCACACCCCTAGTTTTGCCACAATGTGGCCACGACCATTGTGAGGACATGTAACAATTACCTGTGACCAGCACTGATTTGTATTGATCTAGAAAAGGGATCATCATTTGTTCCCCATTTGAAAATGATTGTGTTGACTGAAGTAAGGCTGTATACCATATCCATGCACCCTTTACAGTCATTGCTTATTGCTATTAGGGGTTTAAGCTTTTGGGGCATTTGTGCAAATGAAAAAGTATGACATTCTTGGCGTCAATCTCCTTCCCTCAGTAAGATCTTTGCAGACAGTACAACAATGACCCCAAACACACAAAAGTGGCGTTTCAAGGTCGCAGAGTGAGGGACCTGAACCCAATAGAAAATCTGAAGAAGTATCTGAAACGTTATTTTGCCAAGCAAAAGAAGACCAGTATGGAGGGATACAATTCCTGTGGCTTGATATTTTTATTTTATTATTATTTTTTAAATCAAATGCTTATTTCAAGCAGTAAATTAAATAAATAAAAACGTGGAATTGTGGAATTCACTTATGTCTGAGATCATTGTTGTGATTGGTTTATTCCTTCAGCCTGAACCGGTCATCCCTGTGAAAGATGCAACCTCAGATATGGCCATCATCTCTCGGAAGGGCAGTCAGCTGGTCCGACGCCATAGAGAGCAGAAAGAGAGAAAAAAGGTCCGTATCTGAATTATTTTCTATTTATCTAGTCCAGCAAGAATGATGATAGTTCTAATTTTGTCTATGTGTTTCATCCGACAGGCACAACACAAACACTGGGAGTTGGCTGGCACCAAACTGGGTGACATCATGGGAATCAAGAAAACAGAGGAGGAGTCAGATGGGAAAACTGTTGGTGAAGATGGTAAAGTGGATTACAGGTAGATATTAGGCTAAATCTCAGCGGTGCATGCACACTATAAGAAATGCAGTGCAGCTTTCACGAATACCGTGCTTGGAGAAGTAAGGTATAACCATAATCATAGTTTAGTTATATTATTTGAACTACACATGTTCTACTTGTTATTGAAACTATTTATCATACCCATTATAATAGACTCTGGAAGCAAGGTTTAAGGTGGTACAGATAGTTGACTAAACATAAACTATGGTTAGTTTTTTGTAAGTGTGGAGATTATTGATTTGTTTTAGCTACTGTTCAACTGATTTACTGAAATTATTTTTGTATTATTATTTTTATAAACATCCAGTTTTTTTTGTACTTTTCAGAGCGGAGCAGAAGTTTGCCGATCACATGAAGGAGAAAAGTGAAGCCAGCAGTGAGTTTGCCAAGAAAAAGACTTTGTTAGAGCAGAGACAGTATCTGCCCATCTTCGCTGTTCGCCAGCAGCTCCTCAACATCATCAGGTAGCTCCAATCACAGTCTCCCTTTGGTTCAATCGCTGCTATCCATAAAGACAACCCGAACTCACCCTCATGTGCTTGTAAATCTGCTTTTGTTTAAAAAATATTTCTGTATAATGTTGTGTCTATTAGTACCAAGTGAATTTCTGTAGTTTCTCTGTAGTGCAAAACAGGGCAATATAATTTCATTGTATGGCTGGGATTACATGAAGAGACTACATCCACAGACGATCTCTGGTTTGTTCTTCAAGATGGGTGGAACAATCTTCCAGCTGAGTTCATCTAAAAACTGAAGAATAGCTACAAAGGAAGTTCAGACTAAATATTGATTTCATTTACATTTATAAATATAAGGTATTTTTAACCTGCTATGATATTTTAAATTCTTATATTGTACATAGTGCATAGTTTGAAGGCTTGTTTTTTTTTTTGATGCCAGTGGATCAATGTTACCAGTTTAAGAAAACTGGAATGATGGACCACTATCTAGCAGGTTCAAATGAAGCCTAAATGCAGGAGTTCTCAGTTTTTATGGTTATTTCATAATGAATAGACTTGTGTGATTGAACCACTGATAAATATGGCAGACCACCTGCTGAATTGTGGGTTCTGTGTATGCTTTCTGATAGGGACAACAATATTGTGATTGTGGTGGGAGAAACAGGCAGCGGGAAGACGACTCAGCTGACGCAGTATCTTCATGAGGATGGGTACACTGGCTATGGCATGGTTGGTTGCACACAGCCCCGTAGAGTGGCAGCCATGAGTGTGGCCAAGAGAGTCAGTGAAGAGATGAACAGTAACCTTGGAGAGGAGGTTAGTCTTCACCTTTCTGTTTGATTGCTTCATGTACGTGGACACCATCCCTGCACTGGTGTGTTTAGCACAGCATTTGCATTTACTTTGGATAACATTTATACAGACAGAATCAAATTTGATCTTTGACTTTCCCTCTTTTCCAAAATACAGATACTCATTAACGCAACAACATTATCATAGCTGTTAAGTTGACAACATTGAGTGCATTATGCTTTTATTCAGTCTCTGTGATTGAGAGGCAGGGTTTACCGAAGTCCAGACTGGCAGCCAGCCAGTTGATTCTTTAAGGAGGTTTTAGGCAAAAGTGAGGATAAGCACTCTTGTCTCTTAAGCACTGAACTTTTATCTATTTTGAAAAATAGTTAAGAGGTCTTACAAATTTGCAACGAGATTCCTGATTTTCCAGCTTTTACAATCTCACTGTGTTCAGCAGCTACCGTCCAGTCAATTAAACTGGAACTGCACGTTTTTAAACCTTGTGATCTAACTGTATGAAACACAGACTGCAAAATATCGTGAGAATGTCTGTGAAAAAAAGAATATATTTATATATGACAATCTATAATTGTCAATCGGTTGATAACGTCTGTATTATGTGTTGCAGGTTGGCTATGCCATTCGTTTCGAAGACTGCACGTCAGAGAAGACAATGATCAAATACATGACGGATGGGATTCTTCTCAGGGAGTCTCTTCGGGAGTCCGATCTGGATCATTACAGCGCAGTCATTATGGATGAGGCTCATGAGCGCTCCCTGAACACCGATGTGCTCTTCGGCCTGCTCCGAGAGGTGATTTAGTTCTATGTCCTAAGGTTTTAATTTAGTGGTTGATTCGTGATTTGTGCTGATTTTCCGCTGGATTTTAGTATCAGCTCTGAGTGGGCTTGCTTTAGACACTTGTATCACTACGCTATGAAATTATAGTCAGCTTTGTTACATGATATCGAATGCGACAGAAGTTAAAATACCATGTGAAAACCAAAAGAAGCAAAGATGCACAATGCTCTGTGCAGCCAACTAGGGAGATGGGCAAACAGGTGGTATTTTTTTTTGCTGTGTAATGTTGTGGATTATAAAGCTCAAACTAAAGGTTCATTTTAAAAGATTGATGAAAGGAGCTTGATGAAGAGACACTAAGTTTTTTGCTGGCTTTTGTGAGAACCATATTTTTGTGTTGCACACTGTAATTATCCATGCAGTGATCGTTCTTTCTGGGGAGTCCGTTTGCTCAACAACTGACCAGTCAGCGATCAACAGATTGTTGTGTCACACTTTTCTATTCAATAAGAGAAAACCATCACCTTGACACAAACAAGGGTGTGTTTAATCCTTTTTCAGCTGGTGTTTTGTGTAGGATGTTCATGTTTTATTGATTGGTTATTGTGTAATACCCTTTGCCTGGTAAATTGATTGACATGGTTGGTCAAAGGCGATTCGGTTTGATTGGGTCTCAGAGGACAATGCAAAAATTGAAATACTGAATCATTGTGAATGGAAATCTGTCCAAGGAATTATGCTGTTTGCAGTGTATTTTTGTTTTTGTGGTTTTTTTTCTTTTACATTGTTTAATGACATTGTGTTATAACAGCTTTAGAGGTAAATACAAACCATCATCTAGTCCCTGCCTGTTACCACCAGGGGGCCCTCCCTTCCGGAGTCATGAGAAAACATGCAACTGGGCCTGATTGGGCCTACTAAAATACTAAATGGTGTGAATGAGATGGAGAGGGCCCCACCAGTAAGCCAGTTGGTCCATGCCGTTAAAAACGTTTTTTGTTTTGCTACTAGTTATGTAGGCACAAATAGATTTTCTGGTAATTTAAGTTTTTCCTGTGGCTCAGTCAGTAGAGCACTCTGCTAGCAACGCAAAGGTCATGGGTTCAAACCACTGGGACAAGAACTGATGAAATGTGTTCTTTCCCTGTAATGGAAATTGCTTTGGATAAAAGCGTCTTCTAAATGCACAAATGTAAATGTAACTTTATATTTAGATAAATACACACATACGTTGTAATTTGGAAAATGAAAGTCTGTTAAAGACTTGGTTGAGGTATATTGTTTAAGTTTAGTTAATGACTCTTCTTCATTTTTCTCCCATTTTTTTCTATTTAGGTGGTTTCGAGACGGTCTGATTTGAAGCTCATCGTCACATCTGCCACCATGGACTCTGATAAATTTGCCTCTTTCTTTGGCAATGTCCCTATCTTTCACATTCCCGGCAGAACATTCCCTGTGGACATCTTGTTCAGCAAGGTGAGGTGTTAATGGTGCTTCATCTGAATTGAAGTCTGGTTGATTTGCTTGAACTTAATTTGAGTTTGGTGTTATTCAGACTCCTCAGGAGGACTACGTGGAGGCGGCTGTGAAGCAGGCCTTGCAGATTCATCTCAGCGGCATGGTGGGGGACATTCTCATCTTCATGCCTGGTCAAGAGGACATTGAGGTGTGGATGTTTTTTCGTTAACATTTAATCATCTTTGAAAGTGTTGACACCATCAAAATGTAGATTCAAGGTTTAAAGGCTGAATTGTTGCATTTTATTTTCTGTAATAATGACATTTGAAATTATACCTGTGCTATTATATGTCAAAATAAGAAAGACAATTTTGACTTTGGAGATCTATTGGTTGATTTGTTTGTCGTGTCATGAGTTATTTTACCAATGAAATGTTGTCTTTGTCTCAGGTGACTTCCGATCAGATAGTAGAGCGACTAGCAGATCTGGAGAACGCACCACAATTGGCAGTGCTTCCCATCTATTCTCAGTTGCCCTCAGATCTGCAGGCTAAGATCTTCCAGAAGGTAATCAGCTGCTGTTGCTCTTATTCTAGTCAGAGGATTCAGAGCTCTGCGGACTCACCGTTTGTGTATCGACAGGCTCCTGATGGAGTGAGGAAATGCATTGTTGCCACAAACATTGCTGAGACTTCTTTGACTGTGGATGGCATCATGTTTGTGGTGGATTCTGGTTACTGCAAACTGAAGGTAAGTGCTCTCCGCTTTGTAAGTCAAAAATAAAAGCTATCCATACCAGATTAAGGGTTCTATTTGTGTTCTATTCTGTTAAGACTGGGTTCAGTCTTAACAGAACGTAAGGTCAGTTACGCCTAACTCTTAGCACCTTTAAAACCGAGGACTAGAGGAAGGGCTGAAAATATACATCTATGAATGCCCACAACAAAGTGTATGTTTCTAAAGGATCAGCAGATGTGTTACTCCTAGTAGTTTTTTAGAAAATAATCAAATGACAAATGACAATTTAACATGCTGTACATGAGTCTTGTGCAATGTTAATGTTATACAGTACTAACCCGTCATGTTTTTTCTTAGTTTTTTTTTTCTTCTAGTAGTTTAAAATTTGTATGAAATGCTTTACTTACGTTTGTGGTTCTCTGGCACTTTGTCTTGGCCTCTCCATTGAAATAAGCATAAACCAATTAGAAAAAAAAAAATCTCAACCCGTTGACAAAAATAGACAGATTTTAATTTTTATTAAAAAAAATTGATTTCTTTTTCACTCCAGACGGGTTAATTTAGGCTTGTGTCAGGATCAGTTTTGTGAATTTATGTATTTTTCCCAATTAGGTCTTCAACCCTCGGATTGGTATGGATGCACTGCAGGTTTACCCCATCAGTCAAGCCAATGCGAATCAGCGGGCAGGTAGAGCAGGTAGAACTGGACCAGGACAGTGTTACAGGTATTGTTTCAATTCAATACACATCTAATGGAGATACAAAAAAAAAAGATTAATGATTAAGAAAGTCTTTTCTTGGTCTCATCGCAGTTGTCTTAAGAGTTATGCGTCTTCTTTCTGCCAAAATCTCTGATATTTGGAGGTTGTGTGTTTAGATTAAAACACTGTTGAGACTTGGAGACCACTTAGACCAGAGGTCACCAACACTGTGACTGTGGGCACCTGGTCATCCGTAAGGACCACATGAGTCGCCCGCTACCTGTACTAAAAGTAACTCAAATAGTGCCACTACTTTCAGTGAGCTGAATCTAATTTAATTTGATTGCTATTCTTATTTAAATGACGCTTGCACGTAAGCTTTTTGTGAGAATATATAAATAATTTATGTGAATGTAATGAATGTATACATGAACCCATGAAAAGATGCAGCGAATGCGAGAAAAAGTTTTTTACCTCTGTGGAAGGAGCATGTATTTGTCTCATTTGCGCGGCGGCCAAGCGGCACAATGTGGAGAGACATTTCACGACGTGCCCCGCACGATACCAACTATCCACAGAGTAGCGCAGTGCAGAAAAAGCCTGAGAGTTACGAGAGATGCGTGACATGCACATCTGCAAGAGTCACTCAGAGTACAACATACTGGTAAACCGCACGCAATGCCAGGCTTCCCAGTAACTGAAAGAAACAGATACCAGATTTGGTGTCCAGTTCTTGTTTAGATCGATGTGTTTGTAAAATGTAAATGTTAAAACAAATTATTTTTTTTTCAATCTTAGCTCACTTTTTGTGTTTATATGATTTAATATTCGTACAGCGGATATTGTGATTTCTTTGGACTGTTTTTGGAAGTGATCATTTTGAAGTGTTCTGGACATTTATATACTTTTTTTTTTTTTAAAACACTTGAACTAAGAAAAAAGTGTTGCATATAAATATTTCTCACTACCTGTTAAATCATGGTTGATATTCATTGTGAGAAATGATCAACATGATCAGTGTCAGTGCAGAGATAAATATCCTTAATTATTAATAAATTCAAAAGAGGGTATCGAAGTGGCAGCGCTTTGCATTAATTTGTACCCACCCGAGAAGTAGCTCTCGGTTTCAAAAAGGTTGGTAACCCCTGGTCACGTCAAGACCAGCCAACGATTATATTTGTCCCACTAAATCACTTATTATTATCACTAGAGGCATAGAGCACTAGAGCACTGTTTGTCTGGCAAGGGACATCGCTGCGTCTGCATTCTGTGATGAGAATAAATGGGCAGCTTGAGATCACTACAAGCGAGATTTAAACTAACGCATCTACAGCATGAAAGTGTTAACGTTGCATGAATCACTTTTTTTCCTAAATGACTAAATTGACGAGATTATAAAGGGTACATGAAAAGATGATTTTGAACAGAAATGTGGATCTCCCTTTCATGAGCTCAATCAAGTATTACTGGTGAGATTTTGTTCTTCAATATTGCTCTACACAAAAACAACAAACCAGCATAACAAATTGCAAATAACTTTACTTTCTTTGTTTTATCACTTTATTTCTATATTTTTATGTAATTTTTTGTGACCTTCAATGATCGGATAGCTTGGGATTGTAACTGGCGTCACCATGTGCAAACTCACATGCGTATTTGTGTCCTGCATGCTTAGCATTTTGACATTTTACAGAGATCTAAGCCTTTCAAGATATTTAAAGTTTATTTTTTATAAAACAAAACGTAAAGATTGGTTGTTACATGTAAAATTGTGGTGTTGACTTGCAACAGTGATTTAGATTATTTATATCAGGAATCATTTGAATTAATTGAATCTTTTAATTATGTGGCTACAGACTGTTTGCTTTTTTCTGGGGCCACATGGAAGGTGTGGTACAAACTATTTCTGTAGAAGTATGTGGGCACCGAATATGTGACTGTGTATGCGTTATCAAACAGATATTAGTCTAAATTTCTGCCAGATGGCGTAAGTATGTGTGACTAATGTGACCAGTCTTTTTTTTTTTCATGGCATCCTCGCAGGGATAATCCATTTAAACTGAACAGCTGTTCTCTCAGATCTGTTTCTGCGGAGGCATGAGGGGAGCTGGGATGTTTGCAGTTGCTCTAAGGTTGTTTAGTTGTGATTTAAGGAACCTTTTCAGAAATACACTAAATTCATTTTAAGGTGCATGTCGTTTTGGTTGTATAGCATCACTTTTTGCTTGCTGTAGGTTACTTCAGCATTGTAGAGGTTGCGTCCATGTACTCCCGCCATGTACAACGGTCTAATACAAAACCAGATGTTTGTGAAAATCAACCATTTCAGTTAGATGCACACAAATATTATGAAAACGCGTCTAAAATTTGTTTTAATGGATGTCTTCAAATGTAGGTGAGTGTATGCATATTACTTAAGTAAGACTTGTATATTCAGGATCCCCTCTCTTTTTACGTTGATTTTAATTAAGATAAAACTTGTATAAATAAAGACTTGTTTAAATAAAGACTCAGTGAGGGAGCACTGAGACTGACGTTTTCTCTCTGTCTCTGTCCAGGTTATATACTCAGAGTGCATTCAAGAATGAAATGCTGACCACCACCATCCCAGAGATCCAGCGCACAAATCTAGCCAATGTAGTTCTGCTTCTCAAATCCCTTGGGGTTCAAGACCTTCTGCTCTTCCACTTCATGGACCCTCCACCTGAAGACAACATGCTCAACTCCATGTACCAGCTGTGGATCCTGGGAGCCCTTGACAACACCGGTGAGATTTGCATAATGTCCTGAAAGCTTTGCCTCGCATGAGTTTGTGTTGGATTATCTATCGTTAACACATAAACATAGTAGTATGTTTGATGCGAAGAAATAAAATTGTTTATTTGCTGTTCAGTGCACAGAGTTTACCATTCAAAATTTTTGTGACTAATCCTAAAAATAGAGGAAAATGCAGAGCTGGAAGCAAAACTCTGTTGTTTTGTGTTCTCCAGTTGCCATGCATCACTCTCATTCATTTTTATCTAGTAAAGTGACCCGAGATATAGACATTTTCTCTAAACAGTCATTACTAAATCTAGCGCTTGGGAATGGAAATATTCCACACAATGTAAATTAAAGTTGGAATGGCTTCTGTTCATTTTTAAATGAATATTTTTAAATAAGTTTGTTATTTGTTTTGAGATATATTTTGATATCTATTTAGATATACGCATGCATCAGTTAC